CCCCCCCCCCCCCCCCCCCCCCCCCCCCCAAAAAAAAAAAAAAAAAAAATTAATAATAAAAAATTATGGAGCTAATGCTGAGAGTAAATAATCGTACATACCGAGGTTCAGGTCGTGCTGGGTGAAATTTTCCCCGTAAGAGGTCTCGATCACACGGAACCGACGATCGAGGAACGCCGCGTAGTCCCTCGCGTCGAGGGGAAGGAACGCGGCGTCCGCGAAGTTCCTTGCCATCTCCGCCCACATCTGCGCCGTCGCCCTCATGAACCGCGCCCCCTCGTCCATGAGGCCGGTCACGAGGTGGTAGGTCTCGTAGAGGGTGTGGTAGAGCGGGTACCCCCCGACGGACGAGTTGGACGTGTACCGGATGTCGATGCTGGGGATCCCCAGGTAGTGCACGAAGGTCTTGTAGTCGCTCCCGCCCCCGATCCCCCACACCCTTCGCACGAGTGGATCGAAATTAAACATCCTATGGACTCCTATCTCCAGATACGATCGCGGGAACGATCGAGAACCGCCACCCGATCCTCCATCCGACTTCGCATTCGACGAAAGAGCGGATGCACGACGACACTCACTGCGGCAGGTTAGGATCCTCGTCCGACTTATAGTAATGGAGCCAGGTATCGAAGACGGTTTTGCGACCCTCGGCGATCTCGTTCGGATTCGGATTCCCGACCCTCCTCGCCGCGTCGTAGAGGGACGAGTACATGAGCGGCACCCCCATCGCACGCAGCGTGTCGTTCCCTGCAACATTCCGCACACTCTCTGCTTGTCTCTATCGTGCACGTGGCTGTCGAATGCGGGAGACGAGGTCGACCCGGTCGCTCACATCAAGGTAGGAGGGAACTCAAATATCGAGGGTCTGGGATTTGAAATTTGGCTCATAATTATTGTAGGGTGTCTCAAGAGGAGTGGAAGGAGGGTCGTCTCACAGCGACATTCGACCAACAGTTTCGCTCGAGTTCGTTCTTGAAGCTACCGCCAGATGGTCATTTTCTGGGTTATGCTAAAATGGCCATAACTCCTAAAACCTTTTCTTCGGAGATTTGGAATCAACGTTTTCGTACAGCTGAGACGTTGCTCTTTGAACCGAATACCAGCAATACGTCCTTGCACCATAGGTCAAAGGTGAAGCATGCGATTCATCGAGAGGAATCCAAATTTCAAATGTTAGGCTGCCGTTCCGGACACAGATTCTTTTCGCACTAAACGCTAACTACCAACGTTAGACCATCGCCTGGGCGAGTCTCGTGCAAAATGTCATGAATTTTCTTCGGAGCATTTTCGAGAGTTACATCAAAATGCACTCTAAATTGAACAAGGAAAGGCGACTACTACCTGTTCCCACGGAATTACTCACTTGTCAAGTAATGTATTAACGTATCGGTAGCCCGTCCAACTTCTCGTTATATTGAGTCGTAACGGGGTAAGGGGAGTGCTACAAGGAAGAGGGGCTAACCACACCAACGTCGAAACCGAACGTTCAAATAGTCGGAAAGACGGAGAATACGAGGTATAACAGATCACCGATCCGACAACCCTTTACTCGGAGACCCCCTACGTACAAGAGGAAAAGAATCTAATAATACGAGGACGAAGCCTGTGATGCTATGGTCTACTCGTCTTCTCGAACGAACCCCTCCTTTCGCCAGGGGGCTGAAGCAGAAACGCGGTAAATATATACTCGACTGGACAGGCCAACGGAGAACGCGCCGCAGCCGCACGCCGATTAGAAGGGGCGGCCGCCATCGCTCGTGCCGTCGAGTCTCCCAATAAACGCATAGCTATCCGATTCGTTACGTCACACTGAGTTTTGACGCTCACCATTGCAATGGTGGCTTCATTCGATCCTCCTCTTCGAGGAGCAGAAACCCAGTCTTTATTTTCGTTGCACTTAACAACGTGCGGATGTTCCCAAGCAGGCCCAGGGTCTACTACAGACAAATGAAAACGGGGTAAAGAAAGATCCATCACACCTAAGGTTAGACCCCTCCAATGGGTCGATAGCTATCGAGCCCGTGTAATACGTGATACCCGACCCAGTCGGCAGTCTTTCGGAGCGTCCAGATCCCGAACATACATCGGCCACGACTACCGTGCCCCTCGGTGAATACCATGCCTCGTCGTCTCGTCGACGGTAACAGTGACGGCCGCCAGCCTTTCGAATCGGCACGAGATCTTCGACTGCCCTGTCCGGTCTAGTTATATTTAGACGTATCTGGTGAAACCCCTCCTTCCACTCCTCTCGAGACACCCTACAATAATTATGAGCCAAACTTCAAACCCCAGACACTGTTCATTCCTATCTTAACTGTCACGATAGATAGGCGGGGAACGCAGACGAAAAAAAAACGAGAGGGTCTGTCGTCCTCAAGTCGCTCGATGGCACACGAAAAGACGGACGACATACCGTCGAGCGACATGTCGACGTTGAGATGGACGACATACCGTCGAGCGACATGTCGACGTTGAGATGGACGACATACCGTCGAGCGACATGTCGACGTTGAGATAGACGACGGTCCTCTGCGACAGGACCCCCGCGTGCTCCTCCACCCACTCAGTGGACCCGACCAGCCCGTACTCCTCCGCCCCCCAGCTGCAGAACACCACGCTCCGACGCGGCCGAATCCCTTCCCCCAAGAAAAAAAAAAATTTTTAGTAATCATAATTATTGGAATTTGCAATAAAATAGTGGAAGCAAGAACAACCTCGAGACTTGAAGGTGGCAAAGGCCCTGGCGATCTCCATGAGGGCGGCCGTGCCGCTGGACGGATCCAGGGCGCCCAGGATCCACGCGTCCCGGTGGTTCCCCATCACCACGTATCGATCTGATTCCACGCAACAGATATCCATCGATCGATCGGGGAAATCGTTCGAAACGACTCCCTAGGCGACCTCGAACTCGTTCGAGCCGTTAAATTAAACACAACGATCGTATCGAACGAGATGGCTAAATGGGTTCGGCAGAGATATTCCAATTCGATGTTAATGATTCAATGTCAATTTCTTAAAAGAAAAACTTGCAAATACAAAAAAACAGCAGTTTCTACGGGTACCCGAGCATGAACTTTTTCTTCTCCTGCAGAACGCCGTCAAAGTGAACATCAGCAGCCATTTTCCCCAAGTGCTTTTCGCTTAAAACGTTTATCATCTCGATGAGCAAATGAACCTCTAATTTCATCATTTTTCATATAAGCTGCATCGTGCATATCGCGATCGACACGAAGCGCTCCACGCACGAACGATAATAAATTGGATTGGAATCGGGGCTCGCGAATGAGCCGCGAAGCGACCCTTGCCTTTCTCTTCGGAGCCGTAGAGAGTCCCGACGACGTTGTAGGTGTAGACCTCTTGGTTGGTGGTGAACACACGCATGTGCAGCTCGTCCCTGTCGTTCTGGAACCCTGGTCCCAGTCGATACTGGGGGTTGAGGCCTCCCTGCCAGTCCGGGGGCGCAGTGTCTCCGGTCATCATCCTGCGTGGGTGGGGCGGGGTGGGTCATGGGTGGGGCGGTGGAGCGACTTTTGGCCGACCTCGCAGAAATCGACTCCCGTTTCGTCGAGATCGATCGCAGCATTTAACGAATCGATCGACGAGTTCGGCTATCGTCGAACGATCGAGGCTTCAAGAACGAAGGCAAATCGAACCACATCCCACTTTCACCGTTGATATTATTAGGATCTGAAGAAATTCATCCAGGAAACAAGTGACTCCCTTCCGAAGTTTATGGACATAGAAAGCTTCTATGAGTACTAATCTCGCTCTAATCCTAATACCACTTTAGAAGTGGGACGATTCCACGACACGAAGACACGAGTATCGTTCTCTCGATGGTTCCAAATGGTTTGGATGGTTCGAATTTAGCGAGCGCAAATACCTTGTGCCGTTTCTCTCAGCCGACTTATCATTCGGCTCGGGAGGATGAGGCAAACGGCGCGCGGAAAATGGCACGCGGCAAACGGCACGCAGAATTGCACGTGAACTGACCTGAGGAGTTGCTCCGCCTCTGCGTATCCGATCGGCTGGACAGGGATCTTGGGGACGCGCGCTGCACTTTCCGGGATCCGGTAAGCACTCTCTGAAAAAACGCAAAATTCCCACATTCGTGAACGGAGTTGGACCTCGGGAGAGGCCCGAAATCGTTCTCGGATTTTTTTTTTTCCTCCTACAATTTTTGCGGTTATCTGTGACACCCAGTTCCTCATATCTCTCCATTTATCTGATTGGAAAGAAAGTTCTCGGAATTTCTTGAATATCCAGTAC